CATTATCCTATGGGTAAGGGCAATTCAAAGTGGGGTTTTGAGCAGTGACAAGACCAGTAATACCATGGTAAGCAGATCTGAGGTCAAAGAGAGGGTCTGGGTTCAGATACCTATGTGACTATGGTAAAGCCACTTTATCACACTCTTTGGAACTCAATCTTTTTAACTGAAGATGGGCTGTGGTGGATTAGATAACCTCTAAGGTCCCTTCCAACTTTAATCTATGAGCCTACACCTAAAGAAAGAAGTCGGGTAATGTAAAAGATGGTTTGGAGAAGGGAGAGGGGAAGCATGAAGACCTGTTTGAGAGTTACTAAAGTATTCTGGGGCTGACAGTAATGAAGGCTCAAACTAGTGCAACAGCATGGGGTGGGGGAGAAGGAGTGGGGGCGGATTCCAGAATGTTATATTTGAAGGATAGGCCTTGGTAACTAATCATATTTGAGAGGTGAAGGAAGGAGAGAAGTCCAATGGAAGCAAAGTTGAGACAAAGGAGAAAAGACATTATCCCCTTACTTAGACCCCATTCCAGACTGCTCTGGGTTATGCAAAGATAAATAAGTCTTAAGTTCTATGTACTTCTCTTCCCATCCCCACCACATATGTGCGCGCACACACACACACACACACACCCTACACCTATACCATTGGTACTAGACCATACACAGTAAACTCTCAACACTGCTGAAATGTTGTTTAACTCAGGGCTGTGCACAAAAAGTAGGAGGAACAGTACTTAAAATACTTGCTGACTTTTTTGCTACAAAACAAGGGCACATACTCATTTGTAATAATAACGGCAAGAGTATACAAGTCTTAGGTTTTTATACAGTGGATAAAGCACTGGGCCTAGATTCAGGAAGACCTGAGTTCAAATTCAGCCTCAGACACTTACGAGCTGTGCAACCCAAGGTCAGTCACTTAAACTCAGTTTGCCTCAGTTTCCTCTATTGCAAAATGGGGTTAAATAATATGACCTACCTTACAGGGTCATCATTGTGAGGATCAAATAAGATCATATTTGAAAAGCACTTGGCATATTGCCTGGCACACAGTAGGGGCTTAAAAAAATGCTTGCTCCCTTCTCCCCTCCTCATGTCTGTCTTCATGTACAGGGAGTAGAGGGTAAGCCAATTCACGCATGTTCTAATTAGCACTGACCAGCTGCACTATTCTTGTGGCCCTGACCATATGTTGCCTCAGATTATTTACCTCTCCACATGTCCCATGTCACCCATCCTGGACTAGCAGGATGTGTATATAGTAGTAGCACATATTTCTATAGGACATAAAGGCTTACAAAGTACTCTCCTCTCAGCTATACTATGAGGTTGATACTTCAGGTATTATCCTGTTTTAGAGACAAGGAAACAGTCTCAGAGAAGTGACTTGCTCAAGGTGGCCTGGCAGTCTGTTCCAAATTGCTTCAGCACTGCCTCCACAGCTCAGTGACCATTTATTGAGTGTGTTTGTAGTTTCCAACTCGCCTCCAAGGACCTGTGTCTGCCCAGAGCTACTAAGGGCAGTGATTTCTCGTTAGAGAGGTTCTTTTGATCTGTGGAAACCACTTAAGGCAAGTGAAGGTTCCATGCTAGCTCACTGCTAGGCCCATGGTGGGGATTCAGTAAAAACATGATGAATAATGGGTCCTCAGCTGTGGAACAGTTTTCTTACTTACTGTTAGTCAACTAAGAGTCTTATCCACTCTGGCCTCCCTCAACTCCAGCAGGGAAAGGGGAAACTGAGACTGAACATAAAGACTGAAAGGTGGTCTGGTCACCAAACCACAGAGTTTCAGCAACATCTGTGGGAAGCTCATGAGGAACTTGGCCCCATTCCCTTCCCCCTTTCCTTGGGGTGGGGGTGGGGGAGAGGGGCATGCATAGTACAGGAACCTATAACCAAATTACAGCATCTCTCAGTTTTACTCAGACCAATCAGTTCTTTTGGGGAGGTCCTTGGGAAGGTATCCTGTGTTGTGGTCAGGAGGTAAAGGAGGGTATAACTTCCATTTCGGGACTTGTCTCAATTTCTAATTACCACTATCATAAGAAACATTAAAACTGCATGAACTAGCAGTGCCTAGGAATAAGTTCCATTGAATTTAACACATTTGTTAAATACCTATTATGCGCTAGGATCTGAAAATCAAGACCCTGTTCTCAAGAAGCTTACATTCTGGGGGCAGTGAGGTGGCATAGAGGATAGAGCACTGGCCCTGGAGTCAGGAGGCCCTGAGTTCAAATCCGGCCTCAGACACATAATACTTCCTAGCTGTGTGACTCTGGGCAAGTCACTTAACCCCAATTGCCTCACAAAAAAAAAAAAAAGGAAAAAAAGCTTACATTCTAAGAACAACTGACTTCCTGTGCCTTATGCCTCTTTTATTTCCTTTCTCAACCCCCATTAGACCTAAATTTCAAGGCTTGTGGGTACCCTTGGACAGAACAGTAGAAACACAAAGCAGCTGCTCTGTGGTTTAGGACTTTGGTCCTTAAGAATCTGGCTGGATTTACTCATAAATTAGGGGAAATTTATGATACCATCCCCTTAACACCTCTCTTAATCCATCTCAAAGAGGCGAGCCTTTCGGTATCTGCTGACAACTACAAAGTACAGTGATTTTGGGTGGGGACCGTTTCTCTTTGTCTTTGGAAACCTCCAAGTTTGAGATAAAACTAAATCCCAAGTTCAGTTACAGCTTCAAAGCCATAGACATTTAGTGTTCAGGAAGCAAGCTGAGAGGACAGAGCCAGAGCTTCAAGTGCCCTGAGCCTGTTGCTAAGGTCACTCCAAAGCCTGTTTTGGCCGCTTCTCTCTGACCCTACATTCACCTCCCAGCACCCTGGGAAACATCAACCACAGATATGAAATTAACATCTCAAAACCACAAGTGCATTTCCTTTTGACACAAGGCTCTGCTCCTCTTTTCTCTAATTTGGCCTTTTAGCTGGGACCACCAATTCATAGTGTGGGCCTAGCTCAAAGAAAACCCCTAAACCTGGGGATGTCGTTTGTGCAAAGCCAAAGAACTAGGGAAACTAAAGCAGAAATTGCCCTGCTGGCAGTACAGCCCTGACATCTTCCAGCCCAGCCTCCTGGGCCTATTTCTCAGCTGCAGCTGTTAGGCCTTACCTAAGATTCTCCTCCCAAGACCCACACACCACATAATGCCCACTCCTGGGCCCCATTTCCTGCAGGGGCAGGGCTGGGGACGTGAGATGAAGACCAAGGTGGGAAGGAAATGGTGCCAGCAAGTTATCTTCATAGGGGCGAGGCACCGGGAGGAGGCTGGGGAAAGTGTCCCTGCTGGGCCTCCACAGTCACCTTGTTTTGTGATCATTTTCAAAGTCACTCTTTCTGCTTTTACTGACTCTTTAGTTTATCTTTAATTAGCCCAAGAGGCTGAAAAGTCTCTCTATCCCCCGACTTCCCCAAGCAAATCAAGGAAGGATGTAGCTTCTTGAAAGGATCCATGGTCTAGGTACTACCCATCCTGATTGCTCCCCCTGATATCTCAAATCCAAGGTCACTCTGTTACCTTCTCTAGACACCCAGTTTGGAAATAGGCATCTCAGCCAGTAGCTCCCATACTGAAAGGCTCATTGTCACAGCTGTGCCAGGTAGATGATCTAGTCTTTATCCCAGCTTTTCTTTCACTCCCATTAAAAACTTCCTCAGGGAGACTGGAAAGGGACTGGAAGTTAGTTTCACTCCCATCCCCGTGGGAAGCAGCTTCATGTAGTCGTTCCAGGGGGCTGGCCTTGGAAGTCAAGGGTCAAGACATCAAATTCTGACAACCTATCTGGGCTTGCTTCTTCATCTGTAAAATGGGGGTGGGAGTGGGGAAGGAGAGAGAAAAGGACTGCTTTACATGACCTTTAAGGTTCCCTACTCCCCCATGGCTGTCATTCTCAACATCCTGGCCTGATTCAAGAAGGAGGAGGCACAGGAGGCTCATGGGGAACAGAGAGGCAATAATGTAGCTAACTTCTTTGGTCATGCTTCTCTGGCCTGACTTTCCTTGCCTTCACATCTTACTCCCCCATCCCCCATTCAAGCTTCTTAGAAAATATGCTGCTCAATAATTTTAAGGATAATCAACTGCAAAAGACTTAGCTACTCTGATTAAGACAAATGACCCAAGACAATTCCAAAGGACTCTGTGGAAACCACTTAAGGCAACTGAAAGTTCCATGCTAGCTCACCGCTAGGACCATGGTGGGGAGTCATTAAAAATGTGATGAATAATGTGTTGGATTCATGTCCTCACCTTTCACCTTTGGCTCCTTCCTAGCAGTCCCTCAGCCGTGGAACAGTTTTCTTACTTACTGTTCAGTCAATAAATGATGAAAAACGCTATCCTCTTTCCAGAGAGAACTGAAGAACTTTGAGGACAGATTGAAGTATCCTTTTTTTTAACTTTTTCGTGTGTGTGTGTATGTGTGTGTGTGTGTGTGTGTGTGTGTGTGTGTGTTTTCTTCTGCAACATGGCTGATATGGAAATGTGTTTTACAAGACTTCACATGTATAATCAGTATCATATTGCCTGCCTACTCGAGGGGTGGGGGAAGGGCAGGAGAGAAGACAATTTAGAACTCAGTATTTTAAAAAATGAATGTTTAAAAAATTTTTATGTGTAACTGGGAAATATTTAACAAAATAAAAATATATTTTTGAAAAAGAAAAAAAAACATGCTGCTGCTGTCTTGCATTCAGCTTAGCTATGCTAACTTCATGTTGGAGCTATCTTACTGGCTAGAAGCTGGTACCTCTGGTAAGGGGAAGGTCTGGGGCACTTGGTGGCCCAGAATTCTCAGCTAGGTCCAAGCTTTGTGTGGGAATTAAATATTCAAAGCAACAAGTGTGTCAAAGAATAGTATGTATAGGGAGTGGGACAGGGGAGGAGACCCCAGCTGGGAAGGTATATGGATAGATAAAGGACTCAGGGTCAAAGAGGGAACCAAAGTAGGAAGAAGTTAAAAACTCCTAAAAAGCACTGTATTTCGATGTAGATGTTTAATTAATGCTAATTGAACTGAATTTGGGATAGATTACTTACAGTCATATCAAGTCCAATCTAATCTTAAACTGAAAACATTTTTTTGAGCCTATTCATACAAATGAAGCTCTAGATAGAGCCAATATCTAAAAAAAATCAGCCTCGGGCCAAAAGGAAGTCAAGCAACAGGCTTAAAAGAAAGCTATTATGCTCATCCTCTCCTTGTGTTTCTGAAGAGTTTTAGAAAGTATGAGCTGCAGTAAAGCCTAAGGTTTCTCAGCCCAAGGATGTGGGAAGGTCCTACCATTCAGGCCAGAAAGAATGTTTAGGGCCTTCTTCCCTCTCCTACTTCTGACTGGGAAAATCCCAGAAGAAAATCACTTCAAACTTCTGCTAGTACAGAGTTGTTTCCTGTTTCAGTTTCTAGTTTCAGTTTCCAAGATCTAACAACATCTCATCCAAGATGCCCAGGGGAGGCACCAGAGGGTTGGCTAACCAAGAAACCTGACCAGCCACAGGCAGACTCCTTGGCCTCAGCAGCTCTTCAGCCCTCAAACTGGTCTGGACCCCAGTGACTGGCTTGTTATCAAGCCCAGTCTAGAATATACCCCAACACAAGGCCCCAGTGCCAAGTACAGAAGAAAACAAATATCTATTAGCATGTTCTATCTCCAAAACAAATGAGTATACTGAGGTCTCCTGGGTCATCACCGACACTGAGGCATGAGCTCTTGAGAAATCTCAGGCTGCCATCATATGAGATTTTGTCACACCACTTCAGGTTTTCCTTTAATACAGATGTGTGTTCTGTGTAATTATAATGATCAAACTTGGCCTTCAAGAAGATGGGAGAAAATGCACCTCCTTCCCTTTTTGCACAAGTGGGGACTATGAGTGTGAAACACTACATACTTTGCCAGACTAGGCACTGGTTAGTATGGCTGAGCTGCCTTTCTTCCTTTTTTTGTTTTTGTTACAAGGGAAGGCTCTCCAGGAAGCAGGTGAGACTGGATATATGAAAATTAAGGTGATGCAAAAAAAAAAAAGGCTATCAATAAAATTTTGATTAAAAAAAGCCAAGATGTATTCCAAAGATAGTTAAAAGACAGAATAACAAGAAAAAAAATCCTGTAACACCAACTTTAGGGGGAAGGGGTGTCAGGGGAAGGTCTCTACAGACAGCTCTTGTCACAGTTTATAGTCAGCAGTCAGTCTGAGAAATGGTTGGGTGGGGAACTTGTGTCTGCCCAATGTCCCCTGGAGACCAGCAGGTGTAGCAATATGTTAATCTAGTGCAAATTTGCTCTTCAACATGGCTGTTATCAGACTTTTGATAAATCATTAATCAAATACACCATAAAAAGATAACATGTTCAGAACTTGGCTGTAAAGATCCAAGCTAAAACATTAAATAAACCTGTCTTTGGGATTGCTTCAGAGCACAGAAACAAACGCAAGTTTATTAGGTCTAGTTCTGACAGAAACAAAAATATAGTCCCTCCCAAATAAGTAGATGTTAAAATTCACTTCTGCAGCAATCCATAAGTGTGGCTGGATTCTCACCCACTTAAGTCTGGTTTAGAACATAAATATTTCTACCTAATTGAAAGCCAGACAGCAACAGTTCCTCTGATGTTCAAAGGTCCAAGTCAGTCAGGTCCGAGGCCTGGGACAGGAAAGCCATTTATCCATCTGCCTAGGAAATGAGACAGAACCATCTTGTCGGGGCACAGGCTGCCATGCTAAGCTGTCTGGTGGTCAATGAAAAGACAGAGCAATCAAGTCTGCGCTCCATGATGCCGTCTGGGTGTATCTGAGTCAGCATCTGTTTACACGCTCACTGGTACCATCAGCTGGACCCTGAAAGGAAATTTCAAAGCAAGAGCTTTTAAGGAAACATGCTCAGTATGGTTTTCACAAGCATATAAGGACTCACAGTGCTCCCTCTGACCCACAGTAACATGATCTGCCATGGGGGGAGGGGAAGGGTTGGGGGGAGTCAACAGATCACAAGAACTGCTCTAAAGGAGGAGAGTATTCCATAGATGTATTTGTCTAGAAATTAATCACTAATACTAGTCCTTCCTTCTCTTTAAGGCACATTGTGGACCTAGAGTCCACAAATGAAAGAAAAAAAATACATCTTTATTTCAATATAATTGATTTCCTTTGTAATCTTACATATTTTATTTTACGCATTTTAAAACATTCTGAAGAGTTCACAGGATTTGCCAAAGGAATCTATGACACAAGAAAGGTTAAGAACCTCTGTTTTAGAGGATGGCTGGGATCTGAAGATTCTAGTCCCAGCAAAGGCCTAACTAAAAACTGACAAAGAAGTGACTAGAATATTAAAAGTAGGGACTGATGGGAGAAACATGCCCAAAAGACTTGGTTGCACTGTCAACCTCTGAGGTATTTTATCAGACCTGGTTTCTTCTGTTATCAACATCTCCACTAATTGATACCTGGCAGCTCTTTCCCTGTCCCCCCCCCTTCATTCCCAAAGCTAGCTTTGAGCTACAGAACAAAGAACTGGCTCTCACTTTACCTTCTTACTCTTGCTCTCAAAAGACGAAAGAGGGAAGAGCAAGGAAGCTACTGGGTTGCAACCTGCCTGGAAGCTCTCTTGGGAGTCAAATATCTTAGTTATATGCACAGACTTTCCAGAGAAGCTGGTTAAGAGACTTCTCAGGTGAAAATTAGAAGAAAGGGCTGAAACTGGGTCAAGAAACAGTAACTTCAATCGTTCATTCTCACCTCATAAACTGTGAGTCAACAGGGAAACCCAAAGGCCTGGTGAATAATGACTTATTTTTCAGTCAGTCAGGTAACGCCATCTATGTATGCATGACTCCATTTCAGTCACTATAATAGCTAACAGAAGTACACAGCTTTATTACTGACCATATATTAGCTCAAAATCAGTGTGAATCAGCAAATGGCCTTAGGATCTGGTTTCCATCCCCCAAATGATGTCCTAATACATTCTAGGACTTTGTCATGAATTAAAAATCTCACTGGCATGTAATTTGCAGGCTCCATCCTTCTCCCCCCCCCATTTTTTTTCGTGGGGGAAGGGGTTCTACAGGTGAGGTGGAGGGAATAGGAATCAGGATATCTGCCCTCGTTCAGTGCTGAGACATTGTTCCTATTGTCCATAACTTTTCAAATATGACTGACAGCTACTCAGCAATCATCTGTAGATTTATTCATTTAGTTTCAACTAATCTTCCATCAGAAGAGAAAAATCTCCTTGGAAGAAAAATAGCAACAAAAATAAGAAGTGTGTAATTCTTTCTCTCCATCATCTGCTCTCATCCCATTGATCCCAAGCAGTAGTCCTCTCCTTTTTCTGATCCTCCTCTTGCTCCCAACACAGATCAAGAAAATTTTTCTGTTGTTCTTTATATTCAGAGCCAACCTCCACCAATTCTGAGATTCAGTGCTCTTAACAGTATTCTTACAGAACTACGCCTCTCTAAAATACTCCTTTCCTGTTTACTGCCTTTACTTCCGTCTTTTATATATCTTTTTAAAACACTAACTTTAAAAATCATTTGGTTCCCAGAGAAGCTATGTGGGTCTCTTTAGTTGGCTCCCCCTTTTCTCCCTCATCATGGTCTCTGTGCTTGTGTTCTCAGAATTTCATTTTTGAAAGTCTCCCATGTCTCTTGTTCCAATTTCCTCTGTCAAATTTTAGACCATGGAATCCCACCTGATTCCATTTCTCTGAACATTTTGAAATCTGCTTTCCAAATTCTAGGGAAATATGTTTGGTTTTCCTCTCCTTATTCATTATAAATTCTAAGATGGAGTGACCATTTCCCTCCACGGTTCCCATCATTTCTACTTCAGCAGCCAATTCTTCCTTGTTGGTCCAGAATGAGATGTAAAAGTATAGTTCCCTTGGTTGTGGGGTTTTTTTTTTACCTTTTGAATAATAAAATTATCATTAAAGGAAGTAAAAAATTGATTAGCTCTTCTATTTTTGGCAGAGGAAGCTACAATATATATTCAAACAGTTTCTGTACCAGGCCTCCACCGCAGCTTTGTGATGTGTTTCCTGAACATCTCATCAATTTTCTCCTCCTATTCAGAAGGGGGTCTATAACGTACTCCATCAAGAATATAGTTTCAATCTTTTTTCACCACTCTACCACGCTTCTCCATTAAATTTCTAGATTTCCTCACAAGTTAATCTTTTCAAAACACACTGCTACACCACTGACCCTTCCTGTTGTTTTTTAAAATAAGTTATAACCTTCCATATCTATATTTCAGAGTCACTAGTTCCATCACTTTATTATCTAAATTTTGAGCTTCTGAGTAAAGGCACATTTGAGGCCATGAGTTTTACTGCTGGTTCTCTTTTTATATATTATGTCCAATGACTTACTGGACCTTTCCACTGATTCTTCCTATGATAACAGCTACTTTTTCTGTATATTTGGGCATTTTTTTCTCTCTTACCCTTCAATTTTAGTTTAAAATACTTTTGGTCTGATTTGCAAAACTGTTTCTTCCTTAAGCCAACTTTAACTCAGAGCAAATGAGGGTAAAGTTCTTAAGAAGCAACACAAACCAAAACAGGTAAACTACAGCTTTAGACATGGATATTTATTTGTGAGTTCCTGGCTAAGAGTCTTGTTATTAAATACACAAGTAAAATAAACCTTGATCCTTCCATTTCCTACAAAAAGATTCGGAAGCAAAAAGACTAGGAATAGAGAGACTGGGGATCAAAGCCCACCTCTGGCATTAAATGTTACATGGTTATAGTTGCTTTGGACAAAGGCACCTTTTCTCAATCTTCTGTGATGTGTGGGACAAGTGTGGATCCCTCTTCCTGTTCACAAAGATTGTGCAGAAACATGAGCAACTGTGATACCAGAACTCTCCTGCTATTCCATCTTCATGCACACTAAAGTCGATGGCCTGTGCATTCCCTCTCTGATCTTGACCTCCCTTTTTCACTGCACTCTCACTTTTGGACTTTGACACAAAGATAAACAAAGGCTTACAGATCACGTTACACAGATAAGTTGTTTCAATAACATTACCTCTTCCTAATATTTTCCCAAGACCATGTTAATTTCTATAGCTTCAGAAATCTCAACAGCCAGACAAAAAAAATTATCTTTTGGCTATTCTGAATAAAGCAGAGGTTTCTAAGATTTGCTAATTTTCTCCTTAAGACATGTACACTTCAAAGCAACAAGAGATTAAACAAAGGCAAAGAGCTAACTAGGATGAGTAAGAGAGAGAAAGCTGCTAATGGTCAGAAGTTCTCACTGAGTGAGTAGAGAATCTAGGCATGGGAATCAGGGCATCCACTTCTATTACTGGTTCTTTCATTGACATGGATGACCTCAGGTAAGATACTTCACTTGAGGGCAAACACACCTGCCTGGCAAAAAGAAAATAAGAATAGTACGTGCCCTTCTTAAGAGAAAAGATGTTTTTTAAATGGGAACAACAGTACTGGTACTGTAGCCTAAAGGTATCATGAAAACATTAAAACTATTACGGTGAGTCAGAAACTTTCTCTACTTGACTGTGGATTCTGCCTTTAATGAGGTGCCAAGGGATATGCTATATGAGTCATGATTGTCCTTCCTAATATCAACTTCAAGGTTTAGGGATATGCTCTAGGTGTTGCAGTGGATAAAGCACCAGGCCTGCAATCAAGAAAACCTGTGTTCAAGTTCAGCCTCAGATACTTACTAGCTGTGTGACCCTAGGCAAGTTACTTAACCCTGTTTGCCTCTGTTTCCCCAATCTATAAAATGGGAATAACAATAGCACCTGCCTCCCAGGGTCGTTGTGAGGATTATGTGATGACACACACAGGACTTTGCAAACTTTAAAGCTATCATTATTGATAAAACACTGTTATTTCCTCCAAAAAGTCCATTACAATAAAATTATTATCTCATGTTTATATAGTATTTTAAGGTTTGCTCAAAACCCTCTGTGCAAGTATCATTCCCATTACATGGATGAGGAAATCCATGCTCAGACACGTCAAGTTACTCTTACAGTAAATGTCAGAGTTAAGATTTGAACTCAAATCCTTTGACTCCAAGACTAGGGGGTGCTCTTTTTGCTACTGTTTGTTACTTTTTAAAAAATGTAATAATTATTTTCCTGAAATTATTGGTGTTTTCAACCTATATCTGGTGAAATTTTGTCAAGAGTTGGTTCCCTTCTTATCTATACATCTGCCCTTTGAATAACTTACTCTCTTGGAATACACCTGAGAACCAGAAAGAAAACCCCAAAGACCTTTATGCAGCCAAAAGAGATGCTACAAAACTCATGCGCAAACAGATACCAGACTCAAGAGAGTCATCCACGCCCTCAGGCAGAGTCACTTTACTTTTACTTTAGATAAGCTCCTTTATCCAGAGGTTCACTAACCACAAAGGATTACAGTAAGGTTATACGTACAAAAACACTACCCTATAGTAGACACAGGAACTGGTGGCATTAGCATTTTTACCTTAATAGCCGCTTCTTAAAGAAGTTTACAAAGGGCGTTCAAAGTGATATCCAAGTCCCTAATAAAAAAGGCTAAGTCTTCAACAGAATACATTTAAGGCAGGAAAGTCTACAACCGTTTTTAAAAAGATTTCCATGAGGAATTATTAAAAATAAAAGTGTTTGGGTATGTAAAGGTCTATTTCAATTATCTGGAAATTTCAATTATGTGGAATGACTTATTTCTTTCAATGCTGATTAATGAAGGGTTGCTATATTTTACTGTGGTCTGGTCTAACTTTCCCTTAGAGCAACAACTCTTCTGTCCCTGAAATAAGTTATGTTTGTTTCAGGAGCCTTTCGTTGGTTCTATCAGC